GTGCTATGCTGCGCTATGCTGTACTATGCTGTGCTATACGCGCACATTCAAAGGAACTGAAAAACTTTGAACAATTTAAAAAGTTTCATAAACAAAACCCCAGACAACAGTGCTTCAAAACGCTCACACACGCATGCGCACTCATCATTACAATGGTCTACAGAAGCGTTTCTCAACTTGTGGGTCGCGACCCCTTTGTGGGTCGAACGACCCTTTTCCAGATGTCGCCCAAGACCATCGAAAAATTCAAATACCCTACAGTTATGAAGTAGCAAAGAAAAATAGTTTCGTGGCTGGGGGTCACCACGACATGAGGAACTGTGCTGAAGGGTCGCGGCATTAAGAAGGTTGAGAACCACTGGTCTACAGCATAACTTCTCCCCCGACCCGCTATTAATCTTCATTCCCACAAGACAAACTCCTGGAAATAATCATGACTGGCTTTATCAATAATCCCCTTTTTGAATTATCAATTCCGACGACAAACCCTCTCGCACACTCAAAAGACGGACCCCCTCCGATATTTATGGGCGAGGCTAAGTAGTCAAGACAACTGGGTACTCCGGACGTCGTTCGGCGACCAGCTTGGCTATAGAGACGGACCTCGTGACCTACGCCTGACAAGCCTTACCCCAGATCTCGGGAATATACGATCCTGTTATTGCAAGGGCCGAACATGGGGGTGATCAGAGGAACTGAAGGCATTGTGACGTGACCAAAATTGAGATATCTGGGCTGGATCAAAAATAGGAAAAGGGTGGCAGTGTGGGGTGGGCGGAGGTGGGGGGGGGGTAGGCTGGGGGGGGGAGTTAAGGTCCAGAAAGTGAGTGTTAAAAAAAAAGTTACCCAGAATTTGACCTAACCAGAATTGAAAACTTTTTGCCCTCAAGCTTGGTGGTAAGTGGGGGGGGGTCTGGGACTAGCAAAGTGGGCCGGTGGTGGATTATGTGAGAAATCATTTTGTTAAAAAATTGAAAGTTATTAAATGTTTTCAAAAATTATTTAAAATTATAGTAAGATTAACGGTATTGAAAAAGTCAGGAATAGACATGGATCAGAGAGTACATAATCATGAATAGACATGGATCAGAGAGTACATAATCATGAATAGACATGGATCAGAGAGTACACGATTATGAATAGACTTGGATCAGAGAGTAAATGATCATGAATAGACATGGATCAGAGAGTACATTGTCATGAATAGACATGGGCCAGAGAGTACATTGTCATGAATAGACTTGGATCAGAGTGTACAAGAGTCATGAATAGACATAGGTCAGAGAGTACAAGAGTCATGAATAGACATAGGTCAGAGAGTACAAGAGTCATGAATAGACATGAGTCAGAGAGTACAAGAGTCATGAATAGATATGGGTCAGAGAGTACAAGAGTCATCAGCCAAACAATAAATGAGTCCTGAATAGAAAACAGTCAATCAATTCAAAAGTCATAAATAGACAAAGTCAAACCATTCAAACGTCTTGAGTAGACAAAAGTCAAGCAATTCAAAAGTCAGGAATAGACAAAAGTCAAACAATTCAAAAGTCACGAATAGACAGAACTAAAGGAGTACAAGTGGTCTATTAACAACAAGAAATACTTACTAAGTAAGGTGTTTTTTAAACATACTGTCTGAAAGTAGTGAATGCACTCTTAAGAGTACAGTAAAACTGATGTCCTACACATTCACTAATCGCAGAAATAATTTTTTTTATCAAATCACTTATTTGGCCTTGTGATGACAGTTAATATTGTTGACAGCTATCATTGTCACTTTTCAAACAAAGATATCAAATTTAAAATGCAAAAAATGGCGATTTGATGCCCGAGAAGGAGTTGATCGTGCTGGCAGGTTGAACCTAACTAAGAAGGTCATCATCATGCTGACAGGTTGAATCCAAGGCAGAAGGTCATCATCATGTTGACAGGTTGAATCTAATTGAGAACGTTATCACAATGCTGGCAGGTTGAACCTAACTAAGAAGGTCATCATCATGCTGACAGGTTGAATCCAAGGCAGAAGGTCATCATCATGTTGACAGGTTGAATCTAATTGAGAACGTTATCACAATGCTGGCAGGTTGAACCTAGCTAAGAAGGTCATCATCGTGCTGACAGGTTGAATAAAAGGCAGAAGGTCATCAGCATGTTGACAGGTTCAATCTAATTGAGAAGGTTATCACAATTCTGACAGGTTGAAACTAACTGAGAAGATCATCATCGTGCTGACAGGTTGAATCTAACAGAGAAGATCATCATCGTGCTGACAGGTTGAATCTAACTGAGAAGATCATCATCGTGCTGATAGGTTGAACCTAACTGAGAAGATCATCATCGTGCTGACAGGTTGAATCTAACAGAGAAGATCATCATCGTGCTGACAGGTTGAATCTAACTGAGAAGATCATCATCGTGCTGACAGGTTCAATCCAAGGCAGAAGGTCATCATCATGTTGACAGGTTCAATCTAATTGAGAAGGTTATCACAATTCTGACAGCTTGAATCTAACTGAGAAGATCATCATCGTGCTGACAGGTTGAATCTAACAGAGAGCGTCATCAGCATGTTGACGGGTTGAATCTAACAGAGAAGATCATCATCATGCTGACAGGTTGAATCTAACATAGAGCGTCATCAGCATGTTGACGGGTTGAATCTAACAGAGAAGATCATCATCGTGCTGATAGGTTGAACCTAACTGAGAAGATCATCATCGTGCTGATAGGTTGAACCTAACTGAGAAGATCATCATGGTGCTGATAGGTTGAACCTAACTGAGAAGATCATCATCGTGCTGACAGGTTGAATCTAACAGAGAGCGTCATCAGCATGTTGACGGGTTGAATCTAACAGAGAAGATCATCATCGTACTGATAGGTTGAACCTAACTGAGAAGATCATCATCATGTTGACAGGTTGAATCTAACGAAGAAGGCATTTCGTCTTCGTTGACGATCGCCAAAAATCCAAATATCGGTCATCAAAATTATGATCAGTGTCTCTGCCAAAACTATATCCACAATACCTTCAACCATGGGTGTCCTACAACGACACTGAAGTTCTCAACTGTATAATCCATGTAAACTTTATGTGATTAATTCACAAGCTTGACGGTCATAATGGATCGACGACATTAGTTTAATGGGAGATGTAGCTTGGGATGTTATTTGAATAATCAATGTATTTATTTAACACGAAGTAGATTATTTCAGATTATACCCTCAATGCCTGGTTCTTGCAACATATATACAAATGCCAAATGAAAATAGACATTTCAGAAACCAAAACAAGACCTTCACACTCGGCATTTCTTTTCCAATTACATCACTCAAAGATACCGCCTTGTCTATCCTTCAATATTTGCATTTCTCAGTGCAAAAACTCTATGTGCCCCGTGTGTCCCGTGTGCCCTGTGTGTCATGTGTGTCCCGTCTGCCCTATGTGTTCTGGGATGTCTTGCAGGAGATGGAACTCAATGGAAATGACAAGAAAAGAAGAGGTAATTCACGAGTGTTCCATAGTTCTTTGTCTGAAGAACTGTAACTTTGAGAACATTAAGATCTACAAATGTTCCTCTTGCATTGGTTGCTACCTTCGTTCCAAGGAATGATTGATGTATTTAAGTTCAAATGTTAAAATGCAAGAAGTCACTTAGCAGTTTGAAAGCATCGTGCCAGTTTTGCCAATGGCACATTTATGTTTGCGTCAAATGTGTTGTTGCGCCAATAGTTAAGTTATTGTAATCTATTTCTTCATTGCAAACGTGTCCTTCATAAAGATTAAACAATCATTTAGAAGACGGAAAAAAATAATTGTAGTTGTATTACACTGATCATAGCAAACATTAAAATTGTGCAGATTAGTTAAATGTAATTGTATTCTTTAGAAAATCCCTCTAGCAATCATCGAATCCATTGGGTGACTTAAACATGACGCTAATGAGAAAGTGTTTCAAAAAGGGGAATGAAATCTAATTTTCAAATCCCGAGTACCGTAAACGTTTTTTTTTAAATGGTAAGAAAGGGGGGGGGGTGAGACTGAAATTAGATTGGTAAGAGGAAATGAGCAAAACAAAGTCAGAGGAAATCCTGAAAAAATTTAACGCGATGAAAATACTAACGTGACATACATACATACATAATAATAATAATAAAGTTTATTTGAAAAAACACGCTTCATCTCCAAAAAGCTCGAAGCGCGGTACAATGTTAACCATATTAAAAAGAGAAATAAAAACAATCTAAAATTTACTACATTTAAAAACAGACGCAACAATATAAAGCTACATACGAGCATACCCAGTCAAAGTCTTTCATCCCGTCTCAACCATAAGCAACACAGGCCAAAATACATGAACTGAAAAAGATGGTAGATAGCATTACCCCCAGAAGGTGATATATATATATATATATATATATATATATATATGTATGTATAGCTTTATATAGTTCACATGGTGTATATATTATGAAACAAGGTGTCCATGGAACCGAGTAGTGTGAAGTTATTTTATTTAAATACATTTTTTTTTAAATGTCGGGCTCTTCGCTAACTAATTAAAGACATACTTTTTTTTCTGAAAAGTACCCGCACCGCAAAGTGCATCCATCGAATATTGCGCTTGATATGAAGTGATATAACTGAAGGTACTTACTAGGGTTTTAAAAAGAAATCATTGTAAACGAACTGACTGAAGAAGAAATACATATTTGAAAATAGTTTTAAGCATTTTAATCCAAAAAAAATCTTGATTATGTTTGAGAACGTTCATATTGTGTTTGGTCAAAGTCGTTGGTCCAAGGTCTGGCTAATCCAGTCCATGGCTGTCGGATTAAACGGTGCCCGAGATGCCCCCCCACCCCCACCCCACCCCCACCCCCTCTCCCGATTCAATTAGCGGCGCTTGGTGCGAACGTTCGAGTGTCATTTCCTTGAGAACAATGCCGCACACTCTTCGAACGCAAATCTGACACCGGAAATGATTCTGTCATACGATCTTGTCATTGTCGATCGTAGAATGGCTTCCCCTCAAGTCTGAAGAACACTGGTGAAGCTTTCCTTGATTTCGACCGTATTGTTTTACCAGCTGGGAGCACCGGAGGCCGAAGGTATCATAAGCTGACATGGGAGGCTAGACAATTCCTTCTTAATGACTCTATTTAGTTTGTTGTTTGATGATAAATTTTGAAATAAGAATATGAAATTTGATTTCGAACAATGTTAACAGTTTGCGAAATAACTTCACAATAAGTCAATAAGATTATATTTTCGTTAACTTAAAACGCTCAATTACAAAAACAAAACAAAAAATAAAAATTAAAAGAGTTTTTATTAATTTTTTTTCCTCTTTTTTTTAAAACTCCTTTTTTTTAATTAGTGAAATAATTTATTATAAATGTCTTGTGTTCACATTGTTTTATCTATGTGCTGAAAATGTACAACACAATCATAAAACATTTCCATTTGTTTGGCTCAATAAAAGAATCTTATCTTATCTTATTATTTCTGAAAAGAAAAGCATGGAAAAATAAGTATTAAAGAGCTATTTAAAAACGATACTATATTTATTTTGTTTTTCTCAGTTGCAGTAGAAAATGTCCAAGCCAAACTCGGAAACCACTTACAGATAACGTAACAACATGAATGTTGATGTTTAACGTTGCCAATTTCAGTGTCTTTTTTATTAACTGTGTATAAAACTATGAGCAGTACACACCACCCGTAGAACATGGGGGAAAAGTTTCTAGAGTAAGAAACAATAATATGTTTAAATCAGGGACGAATAGATTTGATGAACATGGACCACTATAGCAATTTGAAGGTTCACAGAGCTAACGCATCAGTTAAGAGATAGAATTAGATGTACAGCTCACGTAGTGCTACGCATAAACCCTATCTCTAAGATACTCTGCACGCCCTTGGAAACAAAAAAAGTTACATGCGTCATGAAAAAGCCTTAATTGAGACGCATACATTTTTTATTTAGGTGTTCAAATTGGGCGCATCTCTGGCTCACCCGGAAAAGACGCTCGTAAATACACAGCGTTGTCTCACAAAAAAAAAAAGTGTCTTTTAGTCATTTGCATGCGACCGTCTTTGTCCGCAGCTGACCAGCGCCAACATGATGCACAACAAGAAAGAAAGCCTGGACGTGGCCGTCCTGCGGGAGAAGATCCGCATCAAAAGTAAGTCTTGCGAATCGACGACAGTAAGAAAAGTATGCCCTATGCAAATAGCGAAGTCAGTTTACATTATTAAGGGCGTTTCCATATATATATATAGGTTCTGGATAAACATACAGTGGAAATTATGGAGATATGTGTAGATTCCCTTGCATAAGACATGGAGCTCCTCAGTAGAAATCGATTATGGCCACCTTAATCATCGTGTATGCTTATGGTGAACTTGGCGGTGGGTGCGCAGATGGCTGATGAGACCGAGTCTGGCACGACATGTTCTTGTGCGGTAAGCGCAGTGGATAGATCGTAAAACTCGGTGCAGAGTTCAGGTGGTGTTTTTCGGCATGTCTTTTGTGCTCTACAGCAGCTGTCCTGTCGGCTTCATGTTGTATGGAGTCTCTACAGCAGCTGTCCTGTCGGCTTCAAGTTGTATGGAGTCTCTACAGCAGCTGTCCTGTTGGCTTCATGTTGAATGGAGTCTCTACAGCAGCTGTCCTGTCGGCTTCATGTTGTATGGAGTCTCTACAGCAGCTGCCCTGTCGGTTTCATGTTGTATGGAGTCTCTCCAGCACCTGTCCTGTCGGCTTCATGTTGTATGGAGTCTCTGCAGCAGCTGTTCTGTCGGCTTCATGTTGTATGGAGTCTCTGCAGCAGCTGTTCTGTCGGCTTCATGCTGTATGGAGTCTCTGCATCAGCTGTTCTGTCACCTTCATGTTGTATGGAGTATTTGCGTAAACTACATTGATCTGGGAAGTCATGCAGCTAACTCAAACAATTGTCTGCAAGATGTTAAGTAGCAGATCTATAAAAGATATTATCATTTATAAGTGAATGAAAGATGGGAATGCATGCACCCATGTGTGATTGCAGGGGTGCAATTGATTCGCTCTACACTTTAGGGTGAGCTATGGTCATAAGGTGTCAAAACATGTACCGGTCTACTCAAAAGGTTATCATTTAAATGGCATGTGCAATGAAGTGATACATCTTTTAATTGAAATAAGTGATCGAAAAAAAAAAAAAATTTTCACCAACACAAAACGGGATATTCGCGAATAGTTTACTTATAAAAATCTATAATACTATATTATATAATGTGCTACCCGTTATCTAACCGTAGAATATTTCAATCCATAGAGATAGACAGAAAAGTCTATGTGGACGAGATGGAAAGAATTCTCAACGGGAACAGGGAGAAGAGAAACGCTCTTCGTATCGGAAACGACTGTCTTCGTTTTATGACGAGAAGACAAAATAATGTATGTAACCAATAGACCTTTTTATATTGTGATACACTATTAGTAGGGTTCACAAATAGACATTTATGGGATACAGGATATCTTTTTCGGACAAGGGACGGTAACACTTTTTTGTGTTCAAATTGAAGACCTTAGTGCTAACAGTAAAGTAGTCACAGAATACACATTTTGAGATAATCAATTTCAAATATTGCTTTCCTCTATAGCTTGGGATCATTTTCATATTTTTTCTTGTTTAATTAAGGGACTTAGGCACATGTTAATGTGTTCAAAATTCTGCAGTACACTTGGCTAAACCGGATAAGAACATGCCACAGTTTAGATAGATTTTGACAAAAATGTGACTTAATTACTTTTAGCAACCGGGTCTTCAATTGTGACATGCCTGACCTACTAACAAAATATTACCCGGCTGACCTACTTATTTAGTGTGACACGACTAACCTACGTACAAAAGTGTAACAAGACTGACTCACTTACAAATTTTGACACGGCTGACCTACTTACAAAGTATGACACGGTTGAACCACTTACTAAGTGCATTAAAAAATAAACAATACATTCGCCAGGTTTTAAAAAAAATTTATTAACAAAGACGGCATTACTATCACCCAGAAGGCGTGCCCTAATAAATGTAGAAGAATTGACATATTAACTGTGATTTTTTTATAAGTGTGTTTAATGCTTTGTATAAATGAATGAAATCGCTTCTTACCCGACTCACTGAATTAAGGTGCTATATATATATATATATATATATATATATATATATATATATATATATATATATATATTGTGCAGGAGTTTTTTTATAAAGTCAAACTAGGAGAAGTTAGTTTCCCGAAGACAGATATCGAACACCGACGAGCCTCGTATTGAATTCGAGTGAGATTCAATCATGGCAAACTAGGTTTTTCATACATAAACTACAAATCCGTGATGCAATGAACTTTAAGGAAGGTTGTTGTTCTCGTTGTCACGAGATCAGATATTCACATGTGAGGGTAGGCAAAAGAAGCAGACAAAAAATAAGTCGACAAAACAGGCAGACAAAACACTCAGACAAAGCAGGCATACACAACAGGCATATTGCGTCATTATGAGAAGCCCGCATTTTGCTGACGACCTTCTCCTTCTGCAAGAATTGATTGTAGTTTGACGTCCACCGGCGGAAGCGACAAAACCCCAACTTTTTTCAAAACAAATTCTTCTTAATGTAATTATATAAAGCATCTGAGCATTGATAAAAATAACGGGCTAAACAATTGAATGAAACGATCGGTTCTTTTCCCGTGTTGAAACATAAAAAAGGCATACGCTAGATTTAACATTCGTTCTTCTCACATGTTCGTATATTAAAAAATTATTCTATTTTTAATGTTTCAATACCAAACTTTCACTTACTACATGAACCAACTTCCAGAGGCGTAGCGAGGGTGTTTGGCGCCCGGGGACAAGATTCGCGCCCTGGGACAAGATCCTTTTTAAAGCGCCCCTTTTTCTTTTTTTTTTCAACTCTCAAAATCATTTTTTTCATCAATGAAATAATATCAAAGCACATTTTGGCGCCCCTAACTAGCTAGCGCCGGGGACATATGTCTCGCCCTGCCCCCCCCCCTCACTACGCCTCTCCCAACTTCTATCTTTGGTAACAAACACCTAAACAAAACAAAATAATATCAAAGCACATTTTGGCGCCCCTAACTAGCTAGCGCCGGAGACATATGTCCCGCCCTGCCCCCCCCCCCTCACTACGCCTCTGCCAACTTCTATCTTTGGTAACAAACAACTAAACAAAACCACCAATTTCTCACCACCTTTCTCATAATGCTGAAAGTTTAAGAAGACAATGAGAACAAGCATAAAACATTTCCTCGTGATTCAGTTCATTAAATAATAGATGCATTGCTCACGAATTGTATTCTCATACTGGAAGAGATGGACGCTGTTAGGTGCATTAGTGTCAATGTTGTCTGCTAATACGCACTAAGAAGAATTGTGTAGGAAAGGTGTGTTCATTTGCCCTACTAGCAAGCAGAATAGAAATGTAGAGGTAGGGTGTGTTCGTTTGTCCTACTAGCCAGCAGAGTAGAAAGGTGGAGATAGGGTTTTTCGTTTGCCCTACTAGCCAGCAGAATAGAAATGTGGAGGTAGGGTGTGTTCGTTTGTCCTACTAGCCAGCAGAGTAGAAATGTGGTGGTAGGGTTTTTCGTTTGCCCTACTAGCCAGCAGAATAGAAATGTGGAGGTAGGGTGTGTTCGTTTGCCCTACTAGCCCGGATAATTTTTATTCATGTATTACTAATCAGGATTATGGCAATGCGCATGTCAGAGCGATGAATGCTTGAATCACCACAAGGCTACCATACTTAGTGGTGAATGTGACCTGATTCAATAAGCTGCCACTCACTGGAGAAAAAAAAATGTCTGCTTGTCTACCATACAGCCCCCTCCACTTGGATTGGGTCCTATGAATATATTAAAGACTTAATTTAAAGAAAATCTACTATCGAGATTAGATTTCTCAAAAAAAAAAATAATAAAAAATAAAATTAGATTTCCAGTAAGGACTTTGAAGTAGTTCTCAAAGTATGGTTTGAAACTACTCTGGATAAACTTGGAACGGTTTTCAACAAAAACACTTCCTGTGTTATTCAATGCATCAACTTATTTTTGTGTTCATAAACACTTTGTTTTTCCCTAAAAATAGAGAAGATATATTTATATAAAACAAATATTAATGACATCATCGAAATAATTTTTTTTAAAAACATTAATTAAACAAACTTTATTGAATTAAGAGTAACGAAATCCAGAAGATAATCAAAGGATAGGATCATGTCACCCTCCCCCACCCCCAGTCAGGGGTGGCATGAAAGGTCATAGTGATCAACCGTAAGGTAAAATTACATGACAGCTACCTCTTTTGCGTTCCTGGGGTACGCGGATGGTTTGCCGCTAGGGCGAAACATCCCGAGGGAGCTGCCTCGCGGCACCTGTCCTCTCTAAAAGGAGGGTAGGTCCCACGAGATGGGGTTATCGGGGGTGGGGGGTCTCACGAGATGGGGTTTTGGGATAGGCAGGTCTCACGAGATGGGGTTGATGGGAGAAGAGGCACCTGTCCTCTCTAAAAGGAGGGTAGGTCCCACGAGATGGGGTTATCGGGGGTGGGGGGTCTCACGAGATGGGGTTTTGGGATAGGCAGGTCTCACGAGATGGGGTTGATGGGAGAAGGAGGCCCCACGTGATGGGGTTTCTCGGGGGGGAGGGAGGTTTTACAAGAAGGAGTTCTCAGGAGGGGCGGGGGAGTTTCGTGAGATGGGGTTCCCGGGGGGGGGAGGGGGGCGCGGTCCTTAAGTGGTTCGGCCCGGGTCACCGATGTAATTCCATATGTAAGAATTTCAGAAGATTACCCCATCTAGAGCGAAATCCCTGTTACAGTCACTACTGACTTGAGCGTGTATGACTTATAAATGTTAGTTGTCTTTTACATGATAGAAAGTAAAGGAGACACCACGGCCTAACATACTTGTAATAAACTGTAACGATCTCATCGGCCTGCCTCTTTTCTTCTTGCTCAGATGACCATCGCCATCAACACTAAGATCTTTGAGAGTCGGCCGAACTCTGAGAAATTGCCCATGATGAAATGTGATCTTACGGTAAGCCTTTGCGGTTATCTCCCCTTTGTAAAAATCCCTCATCCCAAGCGCGCGCCCCCCCCCCCCCACCACCCCCCCCACCCCCCCCCCCCACCCCCCCCCCCCTCCCCCCCCCCCCCCCGCCTTTTTTTTCCTTCTCAAATCAAAGTCTCAAATATCAAGGTTGTTATCAATAAGAAGCATCTGAATAATTCCACCGGTTATCGGAATTCCCGCTAAAAATTCTATGCATCTAAACAGCGAGGCGTGATCTGATAGCAGCCAATTTATTTTAATATAGTAAACACAGCCACGCAGCGTATTTCTTGACATTTCAGTGCGGCAGCTGGCTAGAAAGAACTAAATCTAATGTTTATATAAATATATGAAATAACAACAAACAATGCATTAAGAATAAAAACTGTACGCCTAGAGAGAAAAATATAACGACATTTACAATGCGTTACACACAGCAGCCACGAAGTCAATACTGGGTCTCGGCCTACATGTTCAAAGTATGGGTCAAGAGCCTGCATATCTCGTTGCTGTAGTTTATTCATTTAATTTAAATAACACGCGTGGTCTTTTATATATTGGAAGAACATGTGTTAGGTTCATAAGATAGTCCGATATATAATTCTATCATTATTATTAATTGAAAGGAGCTGTCGGAACAGCACATTTTGGCGGGATTAAATTTAATCCCATCCGTCTTGACATCATACTGTGAGCTGATTTAACACATTGGATAATGTGTTAAAACGTGTATAAAAGTTAATCATTGCTATTCAGAACAAGATGTTTCAGAGTAAATCACTTCAAATATAAGCACTACATAGTACTTTTGGATTTAATATAATTTTTCAATGATACTGTCATGGCACGCTGGCTCATACTGTCATGGCACGCTGGCTCATACTGTCATGGCACGCTGGCGTGTGCTAATTGTTTGCGAACATTGAGATTTTTGTGTTTGACCTCTTGTAACTGTTGGCATAGTTGATCCATACTCTTGCATGATCCAATGGGATACACATGGGCATATGAGGTATATTTGATTCCTACTCCTGTAAGAACCAGTAGAATCCACATGGGCATATGAGGTATATTTGATCCCTACTCTTGTACGAACCAGTAGAATCCACATTGGCATATGAGGTATATTTGATCCCTACTCTTGTACGAACCAGTAGAATCCACATTGGCATATGAGGTATATTTGATCCCTACTCCTGTAAGAACCAGTAGAAGCCACATGGGCATATGAGGTATATTTTATTCCTACTCTTGCAAGGACAAGTTGGGATCCACATGGGCATCTGATGTATTTTTTTTCCCTACTCCTGCAAGAAAATAGTAGGATCCACAAGTGGATATGGAACAAACCCAACAAAAAACAAAGACTCCCATGCACCTAACAACAAGCTACAACACATCAGCACCATTAATTGAATTCTAGCCCCCTCACCCCCCCCCCCCACAATCGCCAACCGCCCCACACCACTTCACGTATTAATTTTAGTGCATGAGTGTGCATGCTAATTGGTATAATTGTGAACCTGACAGGCGTCTATCTACAAGAATGATGGAAAGCTGTTCCGATATGGCAAGAGGCTGATGAAGCAAGATTACAAGCGGGAACAAAAGGAGATCACCAAGAAGTTACAGGAGGAAGAGTTGGCAAGGGCGGTGGAAGAGAAGGTCCGCTCAGTGGATGAGTTTAACCGGCACTGCGAGGTAGGTCATTAGCACTGGACATTAGCTGGGCTGTGATGTCGGTCCTTAGCAGGGTACACTCGCCGGACTGTGAGGTAGGTCAATTGCAGGGGCCAATATCCGACTGTGAGGTAGATCAGTTGAAGTGGACAATAGCCGGAATGTTAGGTAGGTCAATTGCAGGGGCCATTTGCCGGACTGTGAGGTGGGTTAACATTGAGGGAAATAACCGGGACGTTGAGGTAGGTCGACGGTTGTGTAGATACCTAGGACTCTCAGGATGGTACAAGGCTGGGGAACTCAATTGGATTGTCAGGTGGAAAAAAAACAGCATGGGAGCCAATCAGGACTGTTAAGTCGGTCGGCGATATGGGAGACAATGGGCACTGTGTGGTTGGAAACGGAAGGGGTAATAACCGGGAATGTTAGGTATGTCGACAGAAGGGCTTGATCCTAGAACCATTTGTGCCGTACCTAATGGTTGGTTGATCATAGAACCATTTGTACCATACCTGAGGGTTGATTGGCGTTAGCCCAGTCCTTAAACATTCGCTCGGCATCAAATTATTTATTTTTTAACATTTCACGTTTACTTGTCTTTTTGTTTGGCCACACTGATGTTCCTCTCCAACACTAACCACACGCCACTGACTCCTGCCCCAGTCCTATCTTAGCCAACAAGTCCGCGTAGAAGACAACAAAGATCGCCAGGTCGCTGCCAAACTCATCTACAGAGACCTGCAAAAAGTGCTCGCTGCTTTGGACAAGGTAATTTTTATGTCACATTGGGAATTAGTGTCGGTGGCCTGGGGGGATCCCCGGTCGACCGAAAACGCTGCGTTTAAAGCGTTCGCGGTCCACTCTCTCTAAGGGTCTTGGCGGGTTTGCTTCCACTCATGAGGAAAGGTGTTGCGTTACCGCCCACACCACCCAGGTAGTCTTTCACTCGGGACGATTGCTTGGACGAAACGGTTGCTTAGGAGTGGCTTTCTCACGGCCTGGTATCTAAAATCATCTGCATGTGTTTTAACCGCCACCCAAACATCATAACCATCAACGGTTAACCATAAATGATTAACAAGTCATCATGTTACGACCTTACTACTCCCTTTGCGTTGGGAGTCGTGCGGTTGGCCGAGGTTTATTGGTTCGGAAGAACAGTACCACCCTAATAGTTCACCACGCCACGAAGAGGCAAACCCCATGTGGACGCCCGAAGTTCCTCGGAGACGCTTTCGCTGACGCAGAACGGTGAACGAGGTAATAAAAGGATATATTAAACGATTTTCTAGTGCACTCCAAACGATACAATGTTATGTGGAGATCAATCCTGTCAACAAATAGTTCGTACTGATGCAGAATGTTTGACAGCCTTGCGTCAGGAAATAAAATCCCAATGCTTTCATGCAAAAGAAAGGCGTCGATTTTTAAAAAAAATTAATTCAAATTTAAAAAAAAAAAATATTTTGATTTTAAGATTTACAGTGTGAAAGCTGATTATCTCTGTATATATGCATTTATTACTTTTTATTTAAAAAAAATTGAAATGTAATCAATAGCAATCATTCTCTGGTTATGTAAGGAAGTATGGAGTAATGATGTGTTCAATAGCGCACAAAATAAAATTACCGATAAATGCGCTAAATGTGATTCTTAAAAAAATATCGCAGGTCCGTTAGGTGTGTAGTATTTTCTTTTGTTTCACGGGAATATTCTCACTTTAAATATTAAGCACTAAATCTGAGGTGTAAAAGTGGTTGTGGTATTAGAATATCAATATAGTTCAGGGGTGGGAAATAAAGTGTGCGTTGATGTACCTGGGAAGTTGGGGGGGAGGGGGGTGTGAGATTGCACTAATAAGGATTCATTAAAGTGCGTTCCTTGCATGCATGTTTTATCCAGTAACTTGAGTCGATGGGAAGTTCACGCATTGCCCCCGTGATTGTTTGGAAAGCTGGAGCTAGTAACCATACATGTTCCTTGACTTCCAGAACCTGATGGAATATCCGTTTCGGATTAAGGAAATTGAAGACAAAATTATAGAGAGAAGAAAGGAGGTCAACGACTTTTTGGAACTAAAGGCTGGTGCCCTGAGGTTTCTGGACATTGAGGAGGTTAGGGCACTGTCAGTACTTTTGTATTGTAAACTTTGAATGAATTTTCTCTAAACATTGAGGAGGTTAGGCACTGTCAGGACTTTTGTATTGTAAAAATTGAAAGAATATCCTCTAAACATTGAGGAGGTTAGGCACTGTCAGGACTTTTGTATTGTAAAAATTGAATGAATCTCCTCTAAACATTGAGGAGGTTAGGTACTGTCAGGACTTTTGTAGCGTAATCTCTGAATCTCCACTGGATATTGGGGAATGTACATTTCTAAAATGAAATAATGAAGCACTGTCAAAAATAACGAATATAATGTCTAATTTCATTATCTTTAAAACTAACCATATTTTAAGTTATTGTATTTCATAAAAGATATAAAATATATAATTTATGTTCATATTCCTGTTATTGATATATTAAATGGTGTAAATTATATACTGCTTTATATAATATATCTTAAGAAGACTACAAAATAAAAACCTTGCAGATTATGTGAAGAAGAGATGATAGAATATGTCCGCACACAATATAAGACCTCTACGAATGTACCGCAAATAGTATCAGCTGGATTTATTTGTACATTAAAAAAACAAAAAAAAAATTGCACAAGCCTTCAATGTTTTGATGCCTTCTCACAGACCCAGCTGGGACCACTCAATGAAGAGCTGAAGATTGTCAACAACCATTTCGAGAAAATCATCGCCGTGAAGAAGCAAGAGCTGGACGACAGGAGGAAGAACAACTCACTTGGGAAGTTTCTAGCTGAAAGGGTGAGTGCCCTGGTGTTTACTAATTCTACATTGCTATGCACTCAGTGGTCGAACTAGGGAAGTTTTTCTTATTTTGTTAACTGCTTTACCGTTAGACACGTACAATTAATCCGTTACTTGGACTGTCAGTTAACGACCCATTTCTTGAATAACTATCAACTTCTGAATATAAGCCTTCATTGTAGATTTAAGGCAGATCAAATAGAATTGCATTTTAGCTTTAGGAACCTATTCTATTCCTACCATTTTATAGCTCGGGCACATACTTTAAAAAATTATGTATCGTTAATTGAAAAAGACCTAGTATATTTGTGTATAGTTGTATTCAGTATATATTTATTTAAAAAGTTGTCTAAAGTATATCTTTATTTTCTCTCTATATATTCTTGTTGATGAAATCAGGATGAGCAATTTATGTTAGATGTATTTGTAATATTGTAACTCATGGGGACTATTATAAGATTATATGTGTGTTTGCCGTAAATGTTTTTGATTGTCATAAACCGAGAAGCGATTTTTTTTAATGTTGACTTTAATTGAGCTGTTGTGTATCTTTACAGGACAGTCATAGTTTTAACTTTACTGGCAGCTCAAGTAAGTAGAGGGACATACTCTGTGTTGAATAGTTCATAGAAAATGTATCATATGTCAATGCTTCATACAACTGTTGAGGCAAACCCAAAGCCTTGTCCCACAACCCTTTACAGAAATACAGCCTAGCTTCACAACCTCTGATAAAATTATAGCCTCACCGAAGGCTTGAGACACCAACTTGTCTTTGAGATTTTCACTGGCCAAATAGCCACGCCACCCCCACCCCCCCCCCACACACACATAAATTAACACTGGCACACACACGGTAATTAAAAACATTACTTTTCCACGTTAGACAATATTTGTAAATTGGTTTATATATATGGTATACATTATCCTTTACTGTGTTAATTTCAACTTTAGAATAAAAATATTATGTCCCTAGACATTACAGACATGAAGATAAAGGCCAGGAACAAGGCACTGGTCAACGCTCATGACATCATGCTCCAGCTCATGGACGCAATGTTGGTCTCTGACATCAATGTAGGATATTAGGATATGTATACGTGTTTAATGCTAGAGGCTTTACAGCTATAATTTATCAGTTAAACATGTTAATCAATGAATGGTGTTTTATCATACACTCACACTGTTTTTATTTTAAAATGGATACATGAATGGCGATGGAATTATGTTGTTTTCTGAATTTAGAAGCAGGCAGTGTGCCTAAACATATTACGCAATACAAAAAAAGTACGATGTTGACCAGACAGGGTTTGTAGATTGTGTTGACTAGGCAAAGATTGTATATTGTGTTGACAAGACAGGGTTTGTAGATTGTGTTGACTAGGCAAAGAGTGTATATTGTGTTGACAAGACAGGGTTTGTAGATTGTGTTGACTAGGCAAAGAGTGTATATTGTGTTGACTAGACAGGGAGAGTAGATTGTGTTGACTAGACAGGGAGAGTAGATTGTGTTGACTAGACAGGGAGTGTAGATTGTGTTGACTAGACAGGGAGTGTAGATTGTGTTGACTAGACAGAGAGTTTAGATTGTGTTGACTAGACAGGGAGTGTAGATTGTGTTGACAAGACAGTGAGTGAGGATTGTGTTGACAAGACAGTGAGTGAGGATTGTGTTGACAAGACAGGGAGGGTATGTGGTTTTGACAAGACAGGGAGGGTAGGTGGTTTTGACTATACAGGGAGGGTAGATTGTGTTGACTAGACAGGGAGTTTAGATTGTGTTGACAAGACAGTTGCATTTAGGTTTGCAAACGTCCATTAAAAAGCACATAAGAAATACATGCAGATAGGATGTGTTTTATCGATGTTTTAAAATCGAGATGAGGGTCTGCGTGCGTGGAATGTTTCGAAAACGTTTAAGAACCCCTGAGCTAAAGTGTTCATTAGTGTTTTGAATTTTCCAAAAGACTATTTGAATTTTATACTTTAATTCAAGTATCAAATGCCCGATTTCCCAATTTATCGTTAAAATTTTAAAAAAATAATTATTCAAATTATGGGAAACATGTGTCAATTTGCAGCCGCCCACATCCAATCCCCCACACCACCCAAACCACCCACAACCCCACCTCCCAAACCACCAACCACCCACACCCCCACAACCCACACCACCCACACCCCACACCACCCACACCCCACACCACCCACACCCCACACCACCCACACCCCACACCACCCATACCCCTCACACCCCCAACCACCCACACAACCCATACCACCCACTACTACCCATACCCCGAAAGCACCCAAACCACCCCCACACCCTCCACCACCCACACCACCCAAAACAAACCCACCCCACCACCCACAACCCACACCCCCACCACCCACCCCCACTACCCACTCCAGCCCCACACCCACACCACACGCACGCTCCGAGATGATGTTCCCAATGTTTCGCTTTTTTTGCCCACACTAAAACAAAACAATAAGATCAGCTGATTCATGCCCCAAGCGCCTAAATGCCACGTGCACATGTTTTCCAATATATTTCTTTAATTTCATTTCTTCCTGGGACTGTCATCACACAGACCTGTGTTTGTTTGGCTCAGCGATGTGTTGGCTCGTGTTTGCTGGGTCAGCGATGAGTTGGCTCGTGTTTGTTGTGTCAGTGATGAGTTGGCCAGATATGTTAATCTCATCCATTTTATTCCAATCTCTCGCGGACCAATGGATCGCGCGGATAAATAATGCCCCATCGTTTCCGCTTCGCTCAAATGCCTGTTTGCCATTTCTTGCCTCTGTCATGCAACAAGGGCGAACAGATCTCTTTAATATTTCTTAGCCGAGTCGCCTGCTGTGCTCAGTTCTACCAATGCTAGATCAAAACGGACCGCTGCCAAACATTAGTTGTTAGATCTCTGTTAAAATGCACTTCCAATACACTTGGAAACAATTATTAGTCTTGTCGGCATAGCGAATGCGAAACAAAAGTTAATTAAAATTGAGAAAAAAAAACCAACAACATATGCATTATCAGGATATCTCAAATACGATCTAATGCAACGTGAACCTTGATCTTTATTATACCAGATAAATTGACATGTCACAGATGACTTTTACTAATGTCACATCAGGGTCAGTGACACCAATGACTCTTCCTCATTTTTACATAAAGTGCAGTGACATCAATGACTTTTCCTGATGTCACATAAGGTTCAGTGACATCAATGACCTTTCCTCTTGTCACATAAGGTTCAGTGCCATCAATGACTTTTCCTCATGTCAGACAGTGAAGTGTCAATAAAGATTATTCCTAGTGTGACAGGGAGTGCTGTTTCACCAATGATGTATTTCACACTGTCGATCGATTTATGTAACAAATTTTCATTTTACATTTACAGAGAAAAAAAGTTGTGTTTTTTTGTTTGTTTGTTTTTGTTTGTTCAGCCTTGTTTGTGGTTGTCTCTGTGTCTTTCTTTGCAAACCTGCGACAGCTGTCTATGAACTGTATGACGTGATGAGCAGGGGAAGACAGGAGGCTAATAAGAAATATATGGAGGGGCTACTCAAACAATTTGAAGACATTGGTAACGTCTTTGTCAAATCAAGATTCGCAGAAGACACTTTGTCTTGCCTGAGTCGTATTGGAAAACTTACTCGGACATTGTCAAATTTTCGTAAGGTTGAAATGAGAACAAAGACATATATGAAAATAGAACGCCGTCTAGCTTTGAGCCCAGTTAGATCCCCCCCCCCCCGAGTGGTCTCATGAGGTTGAAATCCCTGTCCGGTTAGCGTGACGTGGACCGCTTGCACAGCACCGTGACACAGAAGGGCGACTGCCCCCTCTCTCCCCCCCCACGTGACACAGAAGGGCGACTGCCCCCCCTCTCCCCCCCCCCCCGGTCATCCATTTAATCCTACCTTATCTCCGAGTGGCTAGACCAGATTTACGCAAGCCTTTAAGCCCCCCACGCCCGCCATGGGCATCGAAACAGGTTTAACCCACCGCCCCTACCCCCACCCTACCCCCTACCCCTCCATTGCGGAAGTGATAAGGCAAATAGGTCTACATCTTGCAGCCATGGAGACTGAATTTCTCGGTCTGTTTAGGCCAAAAGATTCAATGTTGTAAGTTCAAACTTGCAATTGGTTATAAACTTTTTTGTAATCCCCTTAATGCCAAATAATAAAGGCGGTTAACTTTAAAAAAAAAACAATGTCCCGTCTAATACCTCCATAATAAAGATAACTACATTTGCTATCTAAAAATCTTAAAATTGTCTCATTTAACATTGAAGACAACAAAGTCGTGTTCATGATTGATCAGCAGCAAGGATGAGAGAGTAAGAATGATGAGCACAACATTTTTTTGTTTTTTTTTTAAATGGCCCCGATTGTCTTCGCATGTAAAGGACGTCATGTAAATAATTTAACAACATAATTTTCAATGCTTTAAATAATATTAGAGAATATAGCCAAAAATGGTAACATATTATTATTACATTTTTTTTTATTTCCGACAGTTCGTGGTGGACTGCATCCTTGACCAGGAGGACGTCACCAGGCTGCTACGTAACGAGAAAGAAGATAGGCTCATGGAGAACGCCATCTTGAAGTCTGATCTGACGAGGTTGACCCGGAACAACAACGTTCTGAAGTACAATGACGTCAAGCAAGCCAAGTGAGCGATGAACTCTGACTTATCGAACCCGGGGGGGGGGGGGGGGGGGGGGGGGGGGGTGGGGTGGGGGCCGTGAAAAAATACGAGATCTAATCGGAAATAAAAATAAAAATGTTCCAACTTTAAGTATTTTGTGAGAATCTATGCCCTTGATATTATTGTGAAAAACATGTGAAAAAATTACATACCAAAATAACTTTTTGTATCAGTTTCTTTTGCCAGCTATGTTCAGGTGTAGCAACTCCCCTTTAATTCCGGCTTTCAGTTGTGTTAGATTTTTTTTTAATCCTTAAAAGTGAGGCGCTAGTTTAAAGATACCTCTATTATTGCTCCTCTGTAGAGACCACCATTGCGTTTCTTCCAGACGTGTCCTTTGATCTTGACTTGACATTTTTAATTAAAATTCACAACTTAAAATTTACCCCAAAAATATATATCTGTTATGTACATTCAAATATCTAACAAGTGATCAGCAGTAAAGCTTATAATTTATCAATCTGCTCATGTCTTCTAGATAGATGTGACTCGTGGTGTGTACGTGTATCTACATAGATATGACTCACCATGTGCTCGTTTATCTACATAGATATGACTCACCATGTGTTCGTGTATCTACATAGATATGACTCGCGATATGTTCGTGTATCTACATAGAAATGATTCGCGATGTGTTCATGTATCTACATAGATATGACTCACCATGTGTTCGTGTATCTACATAGATATGACTCGTCCTGTGTTCGTGTATCTACATAGATATGACTCGTCCTGTGTTCGTTTATCTACATAGATGTGACTCGTCCTGTGTTCGTTTATCTACATAGATATGAATCGTCCTGTGTTCGTGTATCTATATAGATATGACTCGTCCTGTGTTAGTTTATCTACATAGATGTGACTCGTCTGTGTTCGTTTATCTACATAGATGTGACTCGTCCTGTGTTCGTTTATCTACATAGATATGACTCGTCCTGTGTTCGTGTATCTACATAGATGTGACTCGTCCTGTGTTCGTTTATCTACATAGATATGACTCGTCCTGTGTTCGTGTATCTACATAGATATGACTCGTCCTGTGTTCGTGTATCTACATAGATGTGATTCGTGCTGTGTTCGTATCTACAAAGACGTGACTTGTTCTCTGTTCGTCTATCCCAGGGTTCGTCAGAAGCTGGAAGCTAGTTTAGCAGCCGAGAAAAGGGAGCGCCATCGCTTTGAGGAGCTCGACACCTGCTTACGTCTGCAGGATCGCCTTGTCTCGGACATTTCCGTGTCCCTCCGTGCCATGTTTGAGAGACTTCGGCCAATCAAGTTACAGGATGTAAGCAAGGCGCACTCTTTAAAAAAAAAAAAAAGAATGAGATTTCCAATACAATAGATGGAGCCCCCTAATGCAATAATACAATAAAAAAATGTCCACATAATATGATAGCTAGACTCCATATAATACAAGAGATTATGCAACTCAAATACAATAGATTCAGTTTATCTAACAGAATTGATTCAGCCCATCTAATACAATAGATTCACTCCGTATAATACAATAGATTCAGCCCATAGCATAGCATAGATTCAGTCCCACTATTTAATGTCTCTTTTTGTTAAAGCTTTAAAGTGTAAAAAAAAAAAAAATTAAAAAAAAACAACAATCATTTATACTGCTTGAATTCACGCCAATCCTCTTCACTTCTGAAATGTAGATTGTACATGCTGTAACTATTGTGTAGGCCGTGTCAACAAAGTCGGTTTTAACTGAATCTGCTAAATGTTCACTCCCGTCAACTTGAGTCGTTTCAAAATGATCAAAGTTTCAAAAACTTGATAAATAATAACTTTTAAGCTGTCTAAGGGAATTAGCAATCGACCCTGAAGTGTGCGTTAGAGGAAATGTCTTAGTAGTAAGTGACAAACGCAATGAAAAGAACATTTAGGATTTTCCTAAAAATATTCATTTCAGATGCATTTTTTAAAAAAGTTCACAATTTCACTGTATCTAATCTTTAGAACCATTTAATGATACACACGTCGTCTAGTTACACACAGTTAATCTAGAGTCATCTAGTAATACACATTTAACCTCTCGTCGTGGCCTCGTGAATACCTCGCCATACTTTAACTCTTGTTTGCGTGTCAGCCATGTGATGCTTTGATTCTCCTAGGACAATAACTTCTACAAGGGAGACCTACTGATAGACATTCAGAATTTTATTTTGAAAGTTCAGAAGATGAGATCCATCGTGGAGAAGCGAACTGTGCCCGTTGGAAGAGTTAAGCCACTAATGGTAAGTTGATTATTGATTACTTTTTTTTTATTATTATTCCATAGCCATCGGGATGTTTAAATGCAGAAAAAAAAAAGAGAAGATGTTTTATCCTCAATACAACATTAAGACCAAATTAGAGGCGATGAGGCTGTCCGTTAATTTGGAGGTCGGGCGGTTTTGTAACGATTGCGCATCGATAGGCTGCATGCTGTCTCCATCTTGGCCTAGTTTGACGTGTGGACAGTCAAACACATTTGATTGACCGGTTTGTTACTCAAGGCCGAGTTGCATGGCCGGAGTCCCCAGGGACTGCTGGACTATGTTTCACGGCCAAAGGTCCTAAGAGATGGAATCTGGACCTCCGAGTATTGATCTTTATTAGTGGTTTGATAAGTCGATAGGCAGCACGAAAGACATAGGAGTGCGCACTAAAATCCTAGACCCAGCAAGTTCAGTCTTTACCATTTTGTGACACAAATTTGGATTGACCACTGCTCAGTACGATTCTATTTCCACCACCTAGGCCGCGACAGGACCCAAGGTGTCGGCATGGCAAACCAGTCCAAAGAAACCGCGAAAAAAGACCGTTGACGTCGTGCCTTAAAGATTGATTTTTGTATTCTAGGGCGGAAAGCATACCCTTCCTTAAATATATGTTGTATGGTACAGCCCAAGAGATAGATATTTTTTCCCATAGTGCTAGCCATCTGTAGCGATTTAGCTCGGCCCCTCCTGGAGTATGGATTACCCGTGTCAAAACCCCTCAGGATCAGGCAGTTCAATGACTGTTTAACAGGAGCCAGTCAAATCTTAAAATGTAGAATAGACTTATGGAAACTTTTAATTGAATGGATAAAAAAGGGAGCAGATTTAACAATTTTTATCATATAACATTACTATTAACAATCATGAAACTGTAAAATTTATTAACAAAGGGTATCATGGCACTGTGCCTGATCAAACAAGTTGTGGTAAAGTTTTTGAAAGGTATAGAAGCAATGCCAAGAAAGCATTAACGGAAATAACTTTGTCAGAATCTCAAAAGCCTTTTCATTTGTTAATCATAAATTACCTACAAACAAGTGTCTTGAACGAGCGAGTGTTAGATTTAAAAAAAAAAAAAACGAAAAACAACGAGACTGGTTAAAGTGAAATAACTTTGTCAGAATTTCAAAAGCCTTTTCATTTTTTAATCATAAATTACCTACAAACAAGTGTCTTGAACGAGCGAGTGTTAGATTTAAAAAAAAAAAAAAACGAAAAACAACGAGACTGGTTAAAGTGTCTGACTCGTCTTGTCGTTGTCCTCCTCAGCTACGCATGTTCAAGGAAAAGCGCATCCCACAGGACTCCATCCGCGTGGAGATGCAGCATTCGTTGATAGCTAGTCAGATGACGGCCTTTGAAGCCTTCGAGTCCGACCAGCCAGGCTACACGTCCAGGGAGATGCTGAAAGCCAGGGCCGAGGAGATCTCGGCTAAGAACAGAAAGATCAAGGCACCATAGTGGTTGTATCAAGGCACCGTAGTGGTGGTATCAAGGCACCATAGCGGTTGTAGTGGTGCCACGCCTGAGCTTCACTTTTTTTTTTTTAACGATAATGTTTTATCACGTAAAGATCAGCAAATATATAAGAGATCATGTTTGTTTTGAACAGCTGTGTTTAAATAGGAAAATCATCAGAAGAAAATATATAATCCTACTTTACAAGTAGTTGTCGGAGAGTGACGTAGCTCTGATCTTCAAATGTTTTATGAGTCAGAATGTTTTTTCAAACGTTTGCTTTTTTCTTATCTTTTAAAAAAAACAACAACGTAGGTTTCCGGATTAAAAGTAACACATTTTTTACGCACTGTAAATACATGCATTTTTACTTCTACATTTTAAACCATTTATCAAGCATTATTTCATTTAAAGAGTCCGATATTTGAGCATAGTTTCTTCTTATTATTATTTTTAAATATACACACTTAGCATTAACTTTGTTTGAACTTTTTAAATAACTATTTTAAACGTGTTTTAAAAATAAGTTTGATTGATTGACATTTTTTTTATTTTAAAATCCTGTAAAAGAAAGCGGGTAGTTAAGACAACCCTACTGGAGTGGGTCAACGAGACAACCCTACTGGGGTGGGTCAACGTTGAGGTGGACGGCTCCAAGCCGGTAGTTAAGACAACCCTACTGGAGTGAGTCAACGTTGAGTTGGACGGCTCCAAGCGGGTAGTTAAGACAACCCTACTGGAGTGGGTCAACGAGACAACCCTACTGGGGTGGGTCAACGTTGAGGTGGACGGCTCCAAGCGGGTAGTTAGGACAACCCTACTGGAGTGGGTCAACGTTGAGTTGGACGGCTCCAAGCGGGTAGTTAAGACAACCCTACTGGAGTGGGTCAACGTTGAGGTGGACGGCTCCAAGCGGGTAGTTAAGACAACCCTACTGGAGTGGGTCAACGTTGAGGTGGACGGCTCCAAGCGGGTAGTTAAGACAACCCTACTGGAGTGGGTCAACGTTGAGGTGGACGGCTCCAAAAACTGACGGGTCAACATCAAACGGTGTGTGCATTTTGGCTTACGTGTTTTTTTTTTTTTTTTTTTCTCTTCTAAATTGTATGTAAAATGAAATATTTACTTTGCCTGGAAAATCTCAATTCAACGTACCTCGGGCTAATTTCTTGTCATGCGCAATAAGCCAAACTGTTTTATTTTTCATTGATAATATATTCTTGAAGCCAAATTTTTTAACATTGATAGGATAATAAAGGGTGTTGAAATGCACACCAAAGCCACGATTAAATCTTCTCGCCAGGATACGACCCGTTGTCGTAGCTTCGTTTCAAATGACTGTAACCTGCCGCATAGATTTAATCCGAGCTACGACCCGTCTACCGTTGAAGATGTCGTGTGTGAGAAAAAGGCCAGATTAATGTTAAACGTCCGCACGTCGAGTTAATCTCCGTAAGCCAATCTGCGCATGCGTCGATTGCCCATGATTCATCCGGGGCGGAAAAAGGAGGGTTGGGGGGGGGGGGCGCACTGCTCGTTCAAGATGAAACAAATAAAAAATATTGATCATCGTTTTAAAAAATAAAGTATGGAGCCACGGGTATTGAGAGTAAAAAAAAAAGGCTTTGTTGGAAATGGAAACGGGGTTGTGTGACGAATTAAATCCTAGTTGAATTAATATCAAGGAAGAATCTGAATATTTTTTTTTTTTATCTTTCTTTCTAACATTGAATTTTGAGACCACGAGGTCCAGATTTGAAAGAATATTTGCTAACCTACAAACCTACACTTGTGTTTCCTCGAATGACTGTTGGAGCTGCCTGCACTCATTGTCAAAATCAGGTCTCATGAATTAGAAATACAAATCTTATAAAAAAAGCCACCACCCATCTTTTGAATGAATTCATTAGGAGGTGAACATGACATGTACCTCTCAGGGACGTTACTAGGGTAGGGTAAGTTGGGGCATTTGCACCCCCTTCCCCCTGAATTTGCAGGTTTTATTTAAATTGGTATGTACTATGGCGCCTTCAGTAATAAGCAACTTAACAAGCATTCCAAGGTTTGGTTTTGCCCCCCTCCTTTTTTTTTGAATAAACCTGAAGTGACGCCCCTGTACATGTGTCTTTTTCTACAACGCAATAACTACACTGTATTCACGAGACATGTTAATGTAATAAATGGAATTTCGAATGAGCAGCAGTCATTAAATGCTGCGTTTCTCCCCTTCTGACATTCAGGCGACCTTGTATCATTCAGGTGAATTAAACTTGAAAATAACGGACAATGATTTTTCAAAATATTTTCTTGAAGATAGAAACCATAGCTGGTGTATTTTCACCTCTAGAGCAGGGACATCATTTTGGGTAGGCGAGGGTGGGGTATCCCCCAACCCCCTTGAATGTATAGGTTTTATTGAAATTGATATGTACTGTGGCGCCTCCGGTAATGAACAACTTAAGAAGCCTAGCTGGAGCTGGCAATAACGTTAGCTATGTTTAGGGGGGTGTGTTGGGTTGGGGGGGGGGGGGGGGGGGGGGGACGACGATGCAGTTTAATCACTTTTTGTAGAACACGACTGTATCCGGACGGGTTTGTGGGGGTGGTGGTGGTGGTGGTGGAGGAGGGATTTATGGTCACTGAAATCTGATTTGATGGGTGGGCAGCTTATTAGTCGAACGTTACGGCAGCTAATATTCTCATGCATGATTACGGCCATCTCTTTGTGAGGAATGACCAGTGGGGCCGCCTGCTACCAGCGAATGGTTTCTTGATAAGGTCAAGGCTCAACGTTCACTGGGAATGTATCCCTGGGAGTTACGACACTGACACGAGCCGCCTCTGCTCACTCTGGATTGTATTGTATTCGATTAGGGCAAGTCCATGAAGTACGTCATCCTCTGGAGGTGGGGAGAAGGGGGAAAAAGGGGGGGTCTAAGAAAGTGTGACAGTTTTTGACAAATTATTTTTAAAAAAAATTTGCATATGAAACTTGAAAATGACAGTAATGTTGACATTTCTGTTTTGATGGCTGCATTGTGACTAAAGATGTCATTTTTATAAATTTAATAGTGCAATATCTTAAATATAATCAGAAATTATGACGATCTTGATAAGTATGTGTGCAATAGGCACGTGATATAAAATTCAAAGAACTTAGCACTAATTAGAATTCGTTTCAAGTATTTTACTTAGCTGCATGTTGTGTGAAGCAGCTTGGATGGGAATTACACGCACTGTCGCCACCATTGTTTGTTGGGCTACTCCTGGCTATCAAAAAATTCACAACAATAGATTTAGAGACTATGACTATAATAATGTTTCTATAATTTCAATTGAAAAGTTAATTTTATGAGCTTTGGGGAGTCGCTGGCGACTAAATATGTTAAAAAAGATGATAACGCTAAATTCTATCAATATTCGGCTACAAGAAATAACAACTGACTTTGGATCTGCTAACAAGATTTTAACAAACCGAAAAAAAATATATATATATATATTTCCCCCCCCCCCCTCCACATTAATCCTTTATACGCAATTTTTTAATTATTTAATTTTATGTAAATATTCGAATGCACCACCCGCCTTTAGTAAAAGTTTTACACCGCAGATTTATTTCATCAACTATTTCAGAAAAACAAAAGAAACTATTACGCACCAAACGCACCTGTGATATGTTTTCAAAAAGAATCTCATTTAGCGCAGTTGTCGGGAATTTTATTTCGTTAGATCAATGCCATCATTATTTCATTCATCTTTTATTCTTACCCTTGGAAAACAGGAAAAACTGATTTTTAGAGGTTGGGGGGGGGGGGTGTGTAAAAATTTGACAGAATGTATTGTCAATGGCAAAAATCTATGTTTTAAGTGTCAGCTCGATAGGTTTGCGGAAAGTGGATCAATTAGCCATCCGAAGATTNGGGGGGGGGGGGGTGTAAAAATTTGACAGAATGTATTGTCAATGGCAAAAATCTATGTTTTAAGTGTCAGCTCGATAGGTTTGCGGAAAGTGGATCAATTAGCCATCCGAAGATTTTTATGAACAATAGCGAAGATAATAATATAAATAGAAAGGGTTAAAAATGGGATTAAACTTAAACAAGCTGCGTACGAAAATCTTACTCACTTTATTCAATAGTGTAATCTAGAGCCACTATTTCGTTGAACAAGAAGCTGTGCAATGCTGTAGGCCTAACATTTTGGAAACACGACTGGAACGTAGAGAAGGCTTGAACCTTACAGCGACGCGTTCATTAAATATTGTGCCAAATGTATGCCGGGGTCGAGTCTTAAAATACTAACACAATTAGTTGTGTCTTTTCTAAATGTTGATTAATGAATAACGAAATAAAAGTGGGGTTGTTGGGGGGTTGGGGGGGGTGGCACATGACGTAGTAAGACTCTGTTGAATTCAGTCTTTAAATATGTTTCATATTTAGGGTTGTTGGGGGTGGGGGGGGGGGGGTGGCACATGACGTAGTAAGACTCTGTTGAACTCAGTCTTTAAATATGTTTCATATTTAGGGTTGTTGCAGCTCCGGGGGGCGGGCCGAACTTTTTGCCGTCCTCCTTCAACGACAAAAACTCTGAAAATGAAGGAAAATTCCGCCCCTGAACATAAAAAAAAGAGACGCCCCGGGGGGGGACCCATCCCCTCCACGCCGATCCACCCACCCATTCCAACGCCCCTGTGTTCAATCTATTCAATTGTTTCTCCCCTTTGAAATTGGATGAGTTTCAAAATAATGGGATCGGTGAGCCGTGTCACGGGCGGCATGGGGTGAAGGGCGGTGAGGGGTGGGGGAGGGGGGCTGAATAGCATGAGAAAATTAGATTTGCAAGACACATGGGTATTAGCAATGGACATGTAAGACAGATATTACAGAGTGCAAACGTGGAATTGTAATGTATTAGGAACGTGGGGTCGTTTCTGTGAAATTAATAATTGGTTTTTTAAAAAAGAAATATCACTCACGCCCAGTACCGAATTAATTAAAAAAAAACACACAATGCATATTTAGGGGATGTAATTATTTTTAAATTTAACAAACATTATAGTTATACATCGGAATTGAGTTTTACGTGAATGGAGTTCAGTTTTAAAAATTACTTAAATTACGTCTTATAATAACCTCTATAATTAAATACAACAGTATCAAATGTTTCTTCAAAATAAGATTATTTAATTTATTTGAATATTTTAATCAATTATTAAAGCTCCGTAAATATAATCTTTATTAAAATTATGATTTAACAGACTTAGTTGATCAAGGCGTCCTGGGCCTGGCTTAACGTAACTTGTCCAATGTCATATTACGAAAGCTCTCTCTGCGGCGCCCCCCCCCAA